CCCTCCGGCCCTTTAGGCCCTTCTGCTGGGCCTCCCCAGTCCCGATCCTTCCCCAGCCCCGTCCCCGCTCCCCAAGATCCTGGCGCCCCAGCCGCAAGGACTGGGCCTCCGCGAGCCGCGATGTGCGTCCTCTCAGAGCCTGTGGGCCTCCCTGCCCTCCGTTTCCTCCACGCAGGCCCCCACCTCCGTCAGAATGACGCTGGACGTGGGACCCGAGGACGAGCTGCCCGACTGGGCTGCGGCCAAGGAGTTTTACCAGAAGTACGACCCTAAGGACGTCATTGGCAGGTGAGACCACGGCCAGGAAAACGGAGGTCCAGAGAGGTCGGGTCCTAGCTGGGATACACAGTTCCATCTAAGGGCTGGATAGTCCTAAATGGGATAGGTCAGTGGTTAGTTTGGTGACTAGGCTCTTATTCTGAGTCAACCCCCATTTTCTCACAAATTCATTTATGTGTTCAAACATAGTTGAATTACCTACTGTGTGCCAGGCACAAAGCTAAACGGGGAGGGAAGGAGAGCTGCTTATGCCCCCAAGGTACTCCAAGTGAAGTAACTGAAAGAGACACTTGAACATTCAAAAAGTGTCAGGCTGTGCAAAAAGTGCTGTGGGGTCTCAGAAAACCACAGCTTCCCAGAAGAGGTGATATTTAGGTTTTGGAGGATGAGTAGTTCAGCATGCAGAGAACAGAAGGAAGGCCTCTATGTAGAGGCAGTGGCAGATAGATATTCATCAAAGGCTCCCTAAGCATGTACAGTGTGCGGGGTGCACTGTGGCAGGCGCTGGGGATACAAGACCCACAAGGTTTCTATTCTGGAGATTATATTCCAGTTGTAGAGACAGACCACATAAACAAAAACAAGATAAAGATCAGCCGTGCTATGGAGAAAATAACTAGGGTGATGGAACGAGAGAAATGAATGGAGCTGAGACTTAAGATGAGAATGAACAGGGCTTTCTATGCCTCAGTTTCTCCATTGTGAATTGGGAATAAAAGTATCCTACCTTGTAGGTTGATGTGAGATGAAAAGAGTTAATACGATACTCTGAGAACACTTCCAGGCACTTGGTAAGTGCTCAGTACAGGTGTGTTAATTGCAGCTTATATCATTCTGTCTCTTCTGTAGAGAGTGGAAGAGGGGGCAGGAATGGAAGCATAGAGACCAGTTATGAAACTATTGCTTCATTCAGGCTAGCGATGGTGATGGGTTAAGACTAGAGTGGGGGGTGGCAGAGGTGGAGAGAAGTGGATAGATTTAGGAGATGACCTGATACAGTTTCCTGAAGGATTGCATATGACCATGAAGGAAAAAGAGAAGAAAATAAGAGTAACCTCTAAGGTTTGGATTTGAGCACTTGAGTACCATTTATTGAAACAGAGAAGATGGGAGGATCAGGCTGTGGGGATGGGTGAGCAAGTCAAGAGTTCCATTTTGAAAATGTTGAATTTGAGATATGCAACTGGAGCTGTCAAGTGTGTCTGTGAGTCTCAAATTCAAGGGAGAGATCTAAAGCTATAAATTTGGGAAGCAACAGTGTATAGATAGTAGTTGGTGAGAGAATATAGACAGAGAAATGAAAGGGGCCTGGGCTCTGGCCCTGGGGCGTAGTATGAAGGGTTAGAGGAGGAACCAGCAAGGGAGACCAAGGAGATGCCATCTGTGAGTTACAAAGAAAAACAGGAAGAATGTGCTTCTGCAAGGTTGGCGTGGTCTGTGACAAATGCTGCTGAGGCCAGGAAAGCGTATGGGTGTGTGTCCATTAGATTTGTTCAGACTTTTTAGCTATCGCATGGAGATGTCAACAGACCATTGGAAGCAGGAATTCTGGAGAGAAATAATGAAGGCATATAACAGGAATCATTTACACATGGTTGGTATTAAAAGCCCCTGGGACTGAATGTAGGTCTCCAGGGGAGAATATTGGGAAAAGAAGAGAGCTGAGATCCAAGTCCAGAGGAGCAGGATTTTAGGATCAGATGAGGGAGGAGTCACAGAGGCTAGGAAGAACCCTCAGGGAAGAACGGTGGTTCTACTGCAAAGGGGGACAGAAAGGCAATTTGGGAAAAGGCAGATCAGAAGGTAGTGGCCTTATCATCTCATTCCGAGATTACTGTGTGGCATCATCCCTTGCCTCCTCTATTTTCCCTTGTTTTTCCTGCACAGTAAATTACCTGTACACTTACACTGAATTATTTTTCCCAGAGTACCAGTTTCTTCATGTATAAAGGCGTGAAGTTTTAAAATAATTACAATAGGCCTCAAACTCAGATGCATTTAGTGGTTGAATACAAAATAAAACTGTGAGGTGGCTGAGAGTAAGACAGTGGGAAATGATGAGCATTGTGGCAGCTGGAGGGTTCTTTTCCAATCTAAGATATGTGAATTCAGATTTGTAAAGAACATTGCACTGACCAAAGCATAATTCAGCTGTGGGCTGTGTTTAGCCAGAGGTTCAATAGTTTGCACCCTTTGATTGAACTAGAGATGTGGGTGACAGGCATTCCAAGCAAAGGGAGTTACATAAGGTCAAGGAGGCCATGAAAACACAGCAGGAAGGTTACATGAAGGGCAGCCTGGGAACCAGCATAGGAAATGTAGTGTGATCCTGGAAAGATTTGCACTTTAGCCTGAAGTATTGTAGGGTCATATGGAGTTGGTAACAGAGCCCAAGCGAGGACATCTCTATCTAGGACTTTCTCTTTACAATGCCAAATGGGCTTTCCTGTCTCTACCTCATTAATGTCTTTCAACATCCCTTCAAGATATTTTTGGCTACATTTCAGAGCTGAGAGGCAGAAGTTCAGAGACCTTATGTTAGTGGCTCCCTTGGAGATTAATTAGTGGCAAATTTGGGGCCCAAACCACGATCTCCTAATTCTCAACTTGTTCTTCTAGTCAGTTGCCCAATATTTATTTGGAACCTCCTGTACTTGAGCTAATGTAGGGGAACTTTGAGATTTGGATGGGGTAATCAGGAAGTATGAGTAAAATTTGGAGGGAGCCTTAGAACATTTCTTCTCACTTTTCCTCATGGGGTTTCAGGGCAAGGGTGCAGGTTCTGGGACTCACTGTAGAAAGGACTTGCCTGGGCTCACCCATGGAGGGCATGGATTGGAAACCACGTAGCCGTGCCTGCCTTCCCTGTGAGCTTTGTGTTGCACTTTGGTGGGTACTCAGGTTGCTTGCTGAGGTTACCGTGAAGCTATTGTAGGCCAGGACGAACTCCTTGGGAGGTTGCCTTGTCCAGATGGGTCTTCAGAGTCTGATGCATTGTATATGAGGACGCCAAGGCTCTACTCTGCTTGGAATCGAGAGAACAGGAGGCCCTGACTCCTGTGTTGTCTGACTCTGGCAGAGGAGTGAGCTCTGTGGTCCGCCGTTGTGTTCATCGATCTACTGGCCATGAGTTTGCAGTGAAAATCATGGAGGTGACAGCTGAGCGACTGAGTCCTGAGCAGTTGGAGGAGGTGCGAGAAGCCACGCGGCGAGAGACACACATCCTTCGCCAGGTCGCTGGCCACCCCCACATCAGTGAGGCTGCATTCCCAGCTCCTGTTAGAGGACAACCACCTCCTGCTGGCCCTGCCCATAGCCCACTCCCCCAACACTGCCTCTACCCCTCTACTCCCTTCCTCTTGGCTCTGCTCCACCTCAAAGTGTGGCCAGCCTTTGGGTCCTCCCTGCTGCCTCCTTTGGTTCTCCTTCCTTCCCAGTAACAGTGTACTGTTGCCTCAGGGTGGAAAGTCCCTTTAATATGCATCCACTCCTTTCCATCTCTGTCTCTCTGCCTTTCTGCCTCTTTCCCCAGTCACTCTCATCGATTCCTACGAGTCTTCTAGCTTCATGTTCCTGGTGTTTGACCTGTGAGTATCTCCCTACTCCCATCTGAGAAGCCTCCTCACCTCCATGCATAGCCCCAGCCTTACAGCACCGTAGGCTGAAGACCACTCTGCTCACACCTCCCTCTGTTCCCGCTAGGGCCTGCCTAGCAGTCCACGGCCCTGGCCCCTTTCCTGGGTGCCCTGATTGAGGCAAGCTCTTCAAAGAGTAATAGTGACCAGAGACAGAGGGTCTTCAAGACCCAAGTCCCCAGCTATCTTAGTCCCCCATGGTTATAAGGTTAGCAGGGAAGAAAGGGCTGATTTGAGTGTCTGTCTAGGAGCTGACCACTTAGAAAACAGATTTTTGCTCACCAGTCTCTCACTGTTTAATACCCTATGCTGGTGTCTGTCTCTGCTCATCAATTCTTTTTCTTGTCAATGTGAATCTGAATGTCACATACTATACAATATAATGCAAACCAGTTGCAAAGGTACTTCAAAAGAGAATGGTTTGAACACCAAATATTTAAGAGACACCCTTGGAAAAAATTGTTTTCATACAGAAATGACCCTCTGCAAAAGTCCGAGGGGAGGCAGGAAGTGTCCATTTTATTTACCCATCATGCAACTTTGCCCAACAATGATACTTCCTAAAACGATACCTGATGTGTTTTTTATATTTTAATGATTGACAGAATTGCAATTATAACCTCACTCTTTAAAGAGAAGACAAGCAAAAATAAAGTCCTATACAACTTTTTTGCCACTATTGAGATTTTGGCCAGTGGTATAAATAGATTCACTCTATTTTTTTATTTTTTTGTTATCCTCACCTGAGGATATTTTTTCCATTGCTTTTCAGAGAGAGTGGAACGGGGAGAAACATTGATGTGAGAGAGACAGACACATTGACTGGTTGCCTCTTGCACGTGCCCTGACTGGGGGTGGGGAGCGAACCTGCAATCCAGGTACATGTCCTTGACCAGGAATTGAAACCGCAACCTTTGGTGCATGGGCCTACGCTCTAACCACTAAGCAATACCGGCCAGTGCTAAATAGATTCACTTTAAAAGGCCTTTTTGAGTATCAGATAACAAGGTCCTGCAAATTATTGGCACAAGAAGGCACTCATTCTTGCTAAAATAGCCTCCTCAGGCACAATGCAGATATTTTAACTGCCAATCCATTGGGCCAAACTGCCCCTGGCATTCCTCTCACTCTTGGGAGTGCTCTGTCTTGAGACCCTTTAGTTTGTTTACAGAGGGATCTCTCTTTACTGGCCTGTTCTGTGAGCCCTGGCTTATTTTCCCAGCCCTCATTGTGAGGTGCACCTACCTCCCTTCCACTCCTATCCCTTAGGATGCGGAAGGGAGAGCTGTTTGACTATCTCACAGAGAAGGTGGCCCTCTCTGAAAAGGAAACCAGGTAATGGCTGAGCCTGCAGCCCCTGGGGTGAGCAGGGAGTGGGGTGGGGCAAGGAGAAACAGAGGAGACTGCCCCTCCCCCAGGTCCATCATGAGGTCTCTGCTGGAAGCAGTGAGATTTCTCCATGCCAACAACATTGTGCACCGAGATCTGAAGCCCGAGAATATTCTCCTAGATGACAATATGCAGATCCGACTTTCAGATTTTGGATTCTCCTGCCACTTGGAACCTGGCGAGAAGCTTCGAGGTGAGGGGGCCTGGTGCCCTAAGAGGCTTGAGAGGGAAGGACACCCAGACCTGAGGCTTGTTGGCTGGGTCTGAGAACTGAGTCCCAGGTACCAAGCAAACGGAAGTCAGTAAACACTTGCCAAGTACCCTCTGGGTGCAAAGCCTTGTGTGCAGCTCAGAATGAGTTTCCTGGCCTGGGGAGGGTGGAGACAGGCAAGTGAGCAGGTAAGTAGCACACAGCAGGGGCTGGAGGCCTTAAGGGGGCAGAGCAAGGACACAGGAGCACCTGATTTAGCTGGTGGGGCCTGCAGAGCAGGCGCTTGGAGCTGGGCCTTGGGAGGCTGGGCTTGTCCCAGGAGGGGAAAAAGGAGAGGGGGATATAGCAGGACTCAGCTGCACATTTGAGGTCTGGCAGTGTGCAGCTTGGGTGCTATGAGAAACCTGGTACTCTGGGACTCAGGCTCACCCAGTGTCAATACATTTGCTGTGACAGAAATAATCCTGGTGCAAATGGAAAACTGAATAAAGCTCAACTGCAAGATTCCTCAGAGCTTTTAATATGCTACTTTCCCTCAATGGTTTTGCACTGAATTTAATAGCTAACATTTACTGGGCACTTACTGTGAGCTAGGCTCCATGCTGAGTCTTTACATGGCTTATTTCTCTAAATTCTCTCAACTTTTATTAAAAATATTTAATGTAGACATTATTGCAGGTGTCCCCTTTTTCCCCCCTCAACAACTCTTTTAGATAGCATTTGTGTCTCCATTTTATAGATGTGTTGTGACTTGCCTGAGGTCCTGTAGCTGGGATTTGAACTGGGGCGGTCTGACTCAAACTCCTCTTGATCTGTGGACTTCCATGTCTTCCATGTTGTGCTTTGTTTCCCTTTGGGCTTCCACATATACTTTTCCCCATTCTGGAATCACCTTCGCCCTCACCCACTTCATCCTGTCCCCTGGCTTGGGCAATTCAGGTTTCATTTGCAGGTTCTTGGTCAGGTGAGAACCCTTGCTTTTTGTTCTTCACCCCCTTCGTGGCATCCTTCTTACTCCAGTATTTCTCATTTGCTTTCTGGTAGACATCGAGTTTGGTAAGAGTACATCTAATTCACCAGTGTGTCCAGTGTGGTGCTTGGGACATGGTTGGCAATTTACTTGGTTTAGGAATGAATTTCCCGAGAGTCATTTTCATTTTATGCCTGTTAAGGTCTCCTGGAAGTGCGCTATGGAATACAGTTTGGAAATTTCTGGTATGTTAGAATTGGTGCCTGAAGTGGTAGGAACTAAAAATATAGGTTTGGATCAAGTCATGGAGGGCTCTGTGCTATAAGAGTTCACTTGATCCTGAGGCCATAATGGGGAGCTAGGGAAGAGTTAAAACAAGGGACCTACCCAAGAAATCCCATACTTGCACTCATTCCCCTTGGTTTGCGTAGTAGTTCTACTAACCAGAGTAGGGATTATAGGAAGAGATTTGGGCAGAAAGGAATGCAGAAAAGTTTTGTTTTTCTTGTGTTATGTATGTAAAAATGTGATAACATGTTGTGTGAGGAGTGGGTAGGTTGGTTTGCCAGAGTGTTGGAGGCAGGTGATAGTTGGGTAGGACCTTGAAGTCAATCCAAAAATCAGGTTTTTTCTGATTTTGCCCAAGGCCACCAAGAGCCTTGGTGGGTATCTGAGTTTTTCAGCAGGGTCAGGATCTAGTACTAAGACTCAGCAGAGGCAGGCAGGAGCAGAACGGGAACACTTGTGGCCCTGGCAGTGTTGAGGCTCCAGCAGAGGGCTGGTGTTAAGGGCCCATGGGGGGGCTGGTGGCATCCCATCAATCTCAGCCCTCTCTTCCCAGAGTTGTGTGGGACCCCAGGATATCTAGCACCAGAGATCCTTAAATGCTCCATGGATGAAACCCACCCAGGCTATGGCAAGGAGGTCGACCTGTGAGTTTCCGGTATCCCCCGTCTTCTTCCTGTGTACTGTCCTTCAATACATTTGCCCAGCACCTAGTCCTGCCTGACTTTGGTCTCTTTCCCAGCTGGGCCTGTGGGGTGATCTTGTTCACACTCCTGGCTGGCTCACCACCATTTTGGCACCGGCGTCAGATCCTGATGTTGCGCATGATCATGGAAGGCCAGTACCAGTTTAATTCACCCGAGTGGGATGACCGTTCAAACACCGTTAAAGACCTGGTGAGCTAGGGCAATGAGGGTGCAAGGTGGGAGGCCGAGGAGCTGCCCCTCATACTCTGGAGTTCCCCTAGATTTCAAGGCTGCTGCAGGTGGATCCTGAGGAGCGCTTGACAGCTGAGCAAGCCCTACAGCACCCCTTCTTTGAGCGCTGTGAAGGCAGCAAACCCTGGAACCTCACCCCCCGACAGCGGTTCCGGGTAAGCCTGAGAGTGTCAGGTCTGGGCCTGTTCCTCTGTCCCATGTGGTGATGCTACACTGGAACTCACTCCCCTCCCCCTTCCCAGGTGGCAGTGTGGACAGTGTTGGCTGCCGGACGAGTGGCCTTAAGCATCCACCATGCACGGCCACTGACCAAGAGTGCACTATTAAGGGACCCCTACGCACTGCGGCCAGTGCGGCGTCTCATCGACAGCTGTGCCTTCCGGCTCTATGGGCACTGGGTGAAGAAGGGCGAGCAGCAGAACCGGGCGGCCCTTTTCCAACACCGGCCCCCTGGGCCTTTTCCCATCGTGGGCCCTGAAGAGGAGGGGGACTCTGCTGCTGTCACTGAGGATGAGGCCATGATGGCGCTGGGCTAGCACCTCAGCCCTGGGGAATCCCAGAATGCAGGACTCTCCATAAGGAGGATTTTAATCATTCCAGCCCCTCTGGGCTCTGGGCTCTGGCCTCAGGCCCCACTGCCTGGCCAGGTCCACCACTCAATATACTATCATAAGGACCATCCCTGAATACCTCCCCCGCTGGCCAGGGCTTTGAGATCAGAGCTGAGGTGGAAGGGAGCCACTCAGAATGCCATGCCTGGCTCTGTCAGCGCTGCCTGTTCTGTGTATGCAATAAAACCTGCACACCAGGGAGAGCCAGTGCCCTATGTCTGGTGTTAAGCTTTGGCAGGGAAGCCCAGAAGCTGCTCAGGATGGGGGGAGGGGGCACAGATGGGGGCACTGTGGCCCAGGCCTTTATTGGGGAAAACACAGGGGGTCACTTGGTCTTATTCTTGTTTTTGCCTGGAGTTAGTTGGAAGGGCCGCTCTAATGCAGTCAACCTGATGTTGAGCCTTTCCTCACTGGCCTTGAGGCGCTCCTCCACCAGCTGTTGGAGCTGCTCCAGCTCCCTGTTCAGCTGTGTCTTGATGTAGGCTTGAAGGATGGAGACATGGCCTGCAGGGGCAGAGAAGAGGGGCAGGTCAGGAGATGCTGCTTGAGGCTGAAAGATTGCCCCTAGCTGGACAAACACAGTATCCAAGGTGTTCCTAGGGGCTACACAGGTGACAATGCTGCTTCAATTCAGGAAATGTCAGCCAGCCCTTCTGTGAGATAGGTGAGCAGAATGGCTATGCCAGACTTTCTGGGTTGCTACTTAGTAGCTTTGTGAATTTAGGCAGGTGATTTAACCTTCCCATGCCTTAGGTTTCGTCCTGTGTGATGTGGACAGTGACAGCACCTAGCATCTAGGGTTGAGGGGAGATAAAATGGGGTAATATACATAAATGTTTCAAATAGGGCCTGCTTGGCACACAGCATTACCAAATGTGTGCTGGCTATTACTGCCAGTAGTTTTATAATCATGCTTTTCTGGAGCTCCTGCCTCACACCAGCTGTGCTCTTATCTGTTTGTCATCTTGGACTTCTGCATACGGAATCATTTGCAGGAAGGACACCATGACTAAAACAAAAAGTCTGAAGTCCTGATGTGGTCTAAACCCTTCATTTTACACCTGCCCAAAATCACAGGGGACCTTAACCCCTCCAGGTCCTCACTTGGCTCTCGCTGTGGCTCGACCACCTTTTCTGGTTCCTCCTCCTGTAGGGTGACTGACTGCTCCTCCACCTCCTTGCCGCCTTCTTTCTCTGCAAGCCAGACGCAGGAGGAGGCTTTAGCTCCAGCCGCAGCCGAGCCCTGGCCCTGGCCTTTCCCCTTACCTGTCTCATCCTCTGGCCAGGGCTTGGGTGGCTGCAGCCCCACATAAGTCAAAGAGAGATCCAGCCGCACCTGGGAAGAGGAGGACAGCTGAGAGGAGGGCCCCTGCGCTGAGGGAAAGGGGGAGATGAGTGGTCTATTGTAGCCCATGGCCCAGTACCTGGGGTGTAAAGACGTATTTGTAGAGCTTGAAGTGGCGGAAATAGGTGTTGACCACATAATCAGCCAGGGCCAGCAGCTGTTCCTCCTCAAAAAGATTGATACTGAAAGGGGGCCGCTGTGGAGGTGATTGGGTGTTAGAGGACTGACCACCTCCTGAAGCTCTGGCCTTTTCTCCTAGTGCCCAGAGGTCCAGGAGTAGGGAGAGCCCACTGTGGCCTTCAGAGGAAGATGAGGGTGGTGAGTGTGAGAGAACAGGACACTGGGCTAGACCTCGTCTGGGGAAGAGTGAAGATCCCACTCAGAGGAACTGACCCTGACTCCATGGCAAAAAAGAGCACTGGTGAAGTAGCGGTAACATTCCTCCACATTGCCCAAGGGGGTTGCTGAGGGAAAACAAGATAGTCCAGTGAGTCACCTCTCTGATAATCATTCATTTCACTCACTCAGCAGCTACTTATTGAGCATGAGCTTTAGAAGTGGACAGATCTAGGTTTAAGTACTGGTTTGTTTCATTAACTCAAATGCTGAGTACCTGCTGTGACTGTTCTGGGTACTAAGACAGACAAGGCCCTGCCCTTAAGAGACTTATGTGATAGTGGAAGTGACATACAATAAACCAAGAAATACATCATTTTAGTTCTTGCTAAACATTCTGAAGAAAACCAGTTCTGGGAATAAAGGGAGGAAAGCAAGAGCTATTTTACTGAACATTGTGCATATATTTACCTATATAGGGTATCCTCCCAGAAAGTGTATACATTCTGAATAATTAATTCCAATGGGTTAAATCTAAAAAGAAACATTGGAATTAATAACTACTCAGTGTGTATACATTTTTGGGGACATACTGTATATTAGAATGATCAGTTTGGTGTGTTGTTTTAATCCTCACCTGAGGATATTTTTTCCATTGCTTTTCAGAGAGAGTGGAAGGGAGAGGGAGAGAGAAACATTGATGTGAGAGAGACACATCGACTGGTTGCCTCCCACACATGCCCTGACCAGGACCAGGGATGGAGCCTGCAACAAGGTAGTGCTTTTCGGTCCGGAGGCCAACACTCTAACCACTGAGCCAAGCCAGCTAGGACAGAATAGTGTCTTTATAAATAAGGAAAGGAAGGGTTTCATAGGTGAAATAACGTGTGTGTGATAACACTGCTAGTAATGAACAGGTTCCAGGTGATAATCTCCCTATTTCTACTTCCCATGGTTACTTATACCATCCAGCCTCCTCCTCTTTCCTGGGCTCAAACCTTCCGGTAGCCCCCTCCTCTTACCAATACAGGCCTTGTGAAGATCTTGGAGCAGGGCACAAGCTGTTGATGTCTGCTCCAGTGAGAAGCCCTGCTGGCGGCAGAAGATGAGTGCATGGGAGAAGAGATCCAGGGTGATGGCATCCTGCAGGCTCTGCTCAGGAAAGCTTAGCCCCAAAATCTTGGCCAGCACCCTTAAGAGGGAGAGAGGGAAGGAATGAGTGACAATGGAAGCCTCCCTTCACTACCCCACACTAGTGTACAACATGCTTTGGAGCCAGGCATTCCTCATGCCTTCCCAGTACACCCTCAGCCTTTCACATGCTTCTTCCCTTCCCTGCTTCTCCCCCCCATACTCCCTCATCTCCTCAACGTTGGCCGTCTTCTCCAGGCTGTGCATAGAATGGATGTCAAGGTACTTCCTGTCATAAGAAAAGAGGAGAAAAAGTGTTGGTGGCCATTATACATTAGTCTCATGGCAGGGCTAGAGCACTGGACTGGGAACCAGGAGACCTGAGTTTGAAGTTCAGCCCTTACACTAACTTGCTGTGTGACCTTAAGCAAGCCACTTCCCTCTCTGGGCCTCACATTTTCCATCTGTAAATACCAGTATGGTCTCATGAACTCTCTTTTTTGTTAATCCTCACCTGAGGATATTTTTTTCATTGATTTTTAGAGAGAGTGGAAAGGAGGGATGGAGGGAAGGGGAAAGGGAGAAAGAGAGAGATGCACATTGATTGGTTGCCTCCTGCATATGCCCTGACTGGGCTGGAGGATCAGAGGATCAAACCCGCAACCCAGGTATGTGCCCCTGACCACGAATTGACCATCCAGTACTTGCCCAAGGTCATACAGTAAGGGAATGACAGAGCAAAGACCCTTGCACGACCCTTGTGTGCAAGGTGGTGCTCTAACCACAGAGTGACACCAGCCAGGGCCTAAGTGAACTCTTAATGATTCTTTTCATTATAAAGCCAATGGTTAGATGCCTGGCTGGTGTGGCTCAGTGGTTAAGCAGGGACCTATCATACAGGAGACCAAGGTTCGATTCTGGGTCAGGGCACATGGTTGTGGGCTTGATCCCCAGTAGGGGGCATGCAGGAGGCAGCTGATCAATGATTCTCATCATTGATGTTTCTATCTCTCTCTTCCTCTCCCTCTCCCTCCCTCTCTGAAATCAATAAAAACATATTTAAATAAAAAATAATAAAGCCTGTGGTTAGGAAATGAGTTCTTGTCTTTGCTCTGTCATTCCCTTACTGTATGACCTTGGGCAAGTACTCCCATGGGCCTCAGTGTCCCCATTTGCACAATGCTCCATGGCAGCTGTGATACTCCATTTACATCCTCAATCTTTGGCTCCAGTCTTCCCACACCTCTTTGGACTGCTGAGGCACCAGGGCCCTCTTCTAGTCACCTTGGGTAATCGCATTTCTGGGCTTCAGTCTCCTCTGTAAAATGGGGATGCCCTGACCTTTTTATTTTTATTTTTTTCCCCCTGCCCTGGCTGTTTGACAGGACTGTTGGGGAGGCACTAAGGAAATCACTCAAGAGTGAAATGTAACTTTTCCCCAGGCTCTGTATACTCACCACATGCAGATCCGGGGCTGGGGCAGCGGAGACTGCGGGAGAGAAAGCAGATTGGACCAAGGCCCTAGTCCCTGGTCCCTGGCGACCCTCCAGCGGACCTGAGAACTCACTTGCTTTCTCGTCTTAAGGACTATAAACGAACAACGCGGGAGGGCTGGGCTTCAGCAGGCCCTAAGTAATACTAGTAATGAACATATTAACAATCGGGGTTATACACTCGCCCCTTCACCAAGGCAGCCCAGGGAACGTCTTGAGCATTTAGTAAACATAATGACGAGTGGTGCCCTTTTATGAACATTCATGAGCGGACCACTCCTTGTCGCCCTCACCGGGAACAATCTGGCTGCAGGATCTTCATCCTTTTTCACCGAGGCCGCGGGGCCGAACTCGGTCCGCACACCTGTTCCCACACGCGTGGCTGGTTCATTCACTGAGCTGTGGCCCTTCTTGGGTTCCGGCCGCAGTTCGGAGGATTGCTCAGGCTCCGACTGCATTCTCGGCCCCCGGAATTGGCTGGACTTCTGACGGGTTATCTCGTTGCTCCTCGGGGTCTGGGTCACCGCAAGTTCAATCCTGCCACTGTTCTGGAACAGCCGGTTCTCCGCAGCCACTTCCAAGGTGGACCCTCTATCCAAGCTTCAGTCAATCTACGCCGCCTAGAGGTCAGCTGCAGCCAATCCGCGGGGGGCGGCTCATCTGGTCTCAACCTGGACCGTTGTTAGGGC